CTTCTCAATGTTTTCCACAATTTGATATGATCCACAAAATCAAATGCTTTGGCACAGTCAATAAAACACAAGTAAACATCGTTCTGGTATTCTCTGCTCTCAGCCAAGATCCATCTGACATCATTCTACGTCCTCTTCTGAATCCAGCTTCCATTTCTGGAAGTTCTCTGTCAATATACTGCTGCAATCGTTTTTGAATTATCTTCAGCAAGATTTTACTTGCATGCAATATTAATGGTATTGTTCAGTAATTTCCACATTCTGTAGGATTACTTTTCTTTGGAATGGGTAAAAATATAGATCTTTTCCAGTCAGCTGGCCAAGTAGCTGTCTTCCAAATCTCTTGGCATAGCTGAGTGAGTGCCTCCAGTGGGGCATCTGTTTGTAGAAACATCTAATGGGTATTTCATCAATTCCTGGAGCCTTGTTCTTCACCAATTCCTTCAGTGTAGCTTTGACTTCTTCCTTCAGTACCACTGGTTCTTGAACATATGCTACCTCAAAATGGATGAAGATCTACCAGTTCTTTTTGGTACAGTGACTCTGTGTATTCTTTCCATCTTCTTTTGATGCTTCCTGCATCATTCAATATTTTTCCCATAGAATTTTTCAATATTGCAACTCTAGGCTTAAATTTTTTCCTCAGTTCTTTCACCTTGAGAAATGCTGAGTATGTTCTTCCCTTTTGGTTTCCTAACTCTAGGTCCCTGCACATTTCATATAGTAATTGGCTTTGTCTACTACACCTGCTCTTTGAAATCTTTTTAGCTCCTTTGTCTTGTCATTTCTTCCATTTGCTTTAGCTACTCTTTGCTCAAGGGCAAGTTTCAGAGGATATATAACTAGTATCATTTAAAAAGGCACTCTGGTAGAGCAGTGGTTAAAGTATTTGACTAATAACCAAAAGGTCAGTGGTTTGAACCCACCAGCTGTTCCTTATGAGGAGGATGAGGCAGTCTGCTTCTGTGAAGATGTACAGCCTTGGAAACCCTCTGGGGCAATTCTACTCTGTCCTATGGGGTCACTACTAAGTCAGAACTGAGTCGATGGCAGTGGGTTTGTTTCTTTTATAATCATTTATTAAAAGTTCATTTTGTGTGCTCCTAAAATTGTAACACACTTGACAAAATAACATAAACATTTAAAAAGGAAAAATAATATAACAGTCTTACCTGTAAATTTGCTGCTGTTTCCTGTTTTGATTTAGAAACTTCTGCAAGTTTTGTTTTTTGTTCCTTCACCATAGAGGTTAGATCTTTAATTAAAGAGGAAGATTCATTTTCTTTTCGTTGAGCCCAAATAAGAGCATGTTTGCTCTTTGCTAATTCAGTTGCAACATTTTCAAAACCATCTTTAACCTACATTTCAAAATTGCATTATAAATAGCAGTTCTTTAAATATTTAGAAAATATCTATTTCTGGAAAAAGGGTATTTATTCACATTTTAGAATCACAGTTTTAGCAAAAAAATAAAATTTAGAGATAATTTACTGAACTCTATTCTTTTAACACAAAAGTAGTCATACACAATATGTAAACAAATGGGCATGGCTGTGTTCCAACAAAACTTTATGTACAGAAACAGGAAGTGGGCCAAATTTGGCCCGGAGAGCCTTAACTTACCAATCCCTGATATAGCATAATAGGAAGGAATTCAGGTCTCCCAATTCCTACTTCAGCATTTATGATCTTTGGTTTTGCAATATAACTGATAAATAGCTATTATTTATGTAAGGAACTGGATAAAAGCCAGGAACCCAGACAGAGGAGCAGTCAGCCCCAGGGACAACTCAGGGATGCACAAAACAGCAGGGCAGGAGAGCAGGAGAAAGGGGATTAAAAGCCAGAAAGCCAGACAGAGGTACAGTCAGCCACAGGGACCCAGCTGGGGGTGATACGAGAGGTCTCCAACAGCAAGACAAACTTGTCTGTCGGTTTGTCCTACTGGGGTGACATGTAGACCTGAGTTTGAGGCTGAGCCTCTGGTGTTTAAAAGCCAGCAAGATGCACCTGGTGCACAGGT